GATATTTTAAATCTGTGCTTGTCTTGTTTTGTGAAGTCTTCCAGTCCAGCCTTTGTCCAGCTGCAGTGTTTAATCACCAAGAGTGGTCTTTGTTACTAAACTACAGCATTTCAATACAAAATACCTTGCATTTTTTTCTTCTTTTATCCTTATTTATGGTGAAAGGCCCTTATTTTCTTTGCTACTGCTTATAGTTCTCTTATCACATCTGACCAGAATGTTACCCTTCCTAAGGGCTTCCTAAGGGCTTGTCTTAGTCTAGGAAGATGGAGGAAATCCTGTTCTGTGGGTTGGCAGTTTATAAATTAAAAAACTGAATTCAAGACTTGAAAGACACTGTACTCTCCAGTCTTAGAGCACTTTTTTTTTTATTCTCTGTGGGGAGTTTATACGAAAGGTGAGTTCTCAGCCTCTACATGCTGCTGAGAATGTCTCCATCCTTGCTTCTCAGGGCAGGGGTATGGGGAGGCAAGGCAGTGGTTGGACTACACTTGGATCTACACTTATATATCCTTGTTGGATATGCCAACAACTCTAGAGTTTGAAATAATGCACAATGGGTATGGTGAGGTGTATCATGAAACTTTTCAACTGGGCTTAGCTCCTATGACTAGTGTTTGAAGTAGACAGGCTGTGGCCTTCTCTATCTGAAAATTACTTAGGAGGAAAATCTGACACAAGAGTCCTGTTTTTCTAAATGCGATGCCAGAAGCTGCCCATGGCTGTACTTTACCCACCAACATTTTCTGAGATCTGTAATGTATCACACAATTCCCTAACACAATAGGGCTCTGATTTGATTTGGTCTTTGTGATTTTGCTACAGTATTAATTATAATCAACCAAAGCCTTTCACATATGAAGACAGAATTAAGTCCTGACACTATTGCATTTGTCGATATTTTCCACTTATGAGTTACTTTATAAACCTAATAAAGAATTAGCATAATGCACTTGAACTTAGAATGTCTCCTTTGCTTTGAAATAAAACTTTGATGATGTTGCATGAATCTGTGTTTGCTGCCCAAATCAGCCGTATAGTTGACAACTTCCTAGTGTGGAAACTGTCTTTGATGGCTGCTAGCTCAGTGCTAGAGATTTAATATTCTCAGGATCATCCTAATAGACTGTGTTGGTCAATTCAGTGTCTGTTGTATCATAGCTTGAAGAACAACTTAGCAGTTAGCTTCTAATGGAAAATCGTGTTTAATTATGGAATTCATTAGTGAACATAAAGCATCTTAATTAATGTTTCCTTTCTAAATTATAATTTTTAATTACTTGCACATCATCTTTCCAAGCGATGGCTGGAAATGCTACAAGCTCAGAAGACTCTACTTCATTTGGGTCTGCAGGGACATTGAATCTTTCCGCTGGTTTGCAGATCTGCTCTGTACATTGCATAACAAGGTAATGGGTGCTGTTTGGAGGGGTACTGACAACTTAAATGCAAGGTATGTCCACACCACACAGCTGGCAGTCTATAGAGAATGGTAGCCTTGCTCAAAACAATTGAGCTTCAGCAATAGTTCTGCTTGGGCTGCCTGACCCAGGATCCATTTATTCTGTGAGCTGCACAAAACAGTTTGTCCATCACCAGTATTTTGTTGCACAGGGTTGCCATGTACCACTAGTCTGGACACTTACCTACGATGTTTATGAGATCGAAGAAGCACATACAGGCTGGGGAGTTTGAGTGACCTTCAGCCATTTGACTAGTAGACAGATTGAGAAGGGAGGGGGATTTATGATTTGAAGTGTATTTTAAGAGCAGTGTAGCTTCCTAAAATAATATTTTCTACACAGCATGATGTGCAGCTTTCACAGAGGTGTGCTGTGCATGCATATCTTCTTCATTAAAACCTCACTTCACTGATGCTGAAACCTGTGTCCCTCAGCGTAGTAGGCACAAGTGACTTCATGCTTACATTAAGAGGAAGAATATTATTTCACTATCTGTTTTTATCATCCTCCCAGCTTTGGCAGGAGAATCGGCCAGACTATATAAATATCCAGCTGTACCTCAGTCAAACAGATGGAATACAGGTATGTGGCCAAATGCTGTTTATAAACTGAACTAGACCTTGGGGTAATAGACAATGCAAACAGTCGGTCAAAGGCAGAAGGGGATTACTGCAGATGATGAAAACAGGAGATGAGGCCATAAACTGAGGTGACTGATTCATTATTAGAGCAAGACAGCCAGTGCATCCACACAGCATTAAGAGAATCTAGTTTAGCAACCTTTCTGTGGGCAGAAATCCATATCTTTCTTTTCTAGGAAAGAGGTCCTTCCGGGCCAGGCCACAGACCAGACAGTTGGCTGTATTTGATGGGGAAATCTGCATTGTTTCCGGGCTAAGAATCAAAACAGAATAGTTCTAGGAACTTGCAAGCTCAGGTCTTCTTTTCCCATATGTATTTTGAGAGAAACTAACTATTTTTGAAAGCTTTGAATTTCATTGCCTCAAATATAGATAAAAGATAGAAATTTCTTGATGTATGAGGCTGAAAATTATATCTGTCAATTGTTATGTATTACCAAACCCAAGGCTGCGGTAATATTCCAGATCTTGGCATCTCCTGTAGCTGTTTACATTTGCGATCTTCATTTTACATTTTTTAGCACATAAGCCTAGGCACAAGTCTTTACCCTGGTGTTTCAGAAAGCTTTCCATTGACTGCAGGGGACCCAGAACCAAACCTAACAATTACTATAAGGCATGAAATGCAGTGAGAAACCATGCCCAAAGGATTTTGATCTGCCTGGTATCAAGTGGAGGTAGCATAGCATGCACAGCTCTGGTAGGAACACTATCCAATAGTCTAAATTATGTGATAGCTACAGTAGTTATGAACAGTGCTCCACAAATGTAATGCCTGGACAACATATATTGATTAAAATTGGGTGCTTGAAAATTCGTAATTGATGAAGCTGGTATGTTAGTTTAAAATTAAAACCTGAAGCAGGACTACAATGCAGTGAGACAACAAAATCATAATAACAGGCAATTCAAAGGAAGTTTTCTAATGCTGTGTATCAAGCAAGCTTTTTGGTCATAGTCCTTCTTTAAATTCACGGGGGTTTGTGGCTGTTAAACAAAACTGACATGAACCATAATGCTGCTCATAATTTCTCAAAAGGGTTCTCTACTCTCCACTGCCATACAACTGATGTGTTCACTGCTGTTAGTCCAAAGTGCTGACTGCTACCAAAATTAGGGCAGTTTTTGCTTCATGCTTGCTTTGCACAGAAACAGTGCACCTGTGTGGTAAGAGTGAGCCAAGCCCACCCTGCAGCAAATGCCTCTTGACTTTAAATGCCAATGGAGGATGAGTCTGCCAAGACTCTGTGTTTCCATTGGTATGAGCAATGTCTCAGGTTGTTCAGCAGTGGAGGTAATGTGAGAACCTAGATAAGATAAAACTTCTGTCTGCCTTTCTGTGCATTAGGACAGGAAAACAAGGGTGGGTCGTGCCCTGCAATGGGTGGGCATTTCACCATATCAAAATACTAGTGAGTTAGCATTGCTGGAATGGATTGGGTTCCATCCAGGGAGCTGTTTTGTCTGCTTTCTGCTGTTGCAGCAGCTCCTAACAGCTGGCAAACTACTATTCAGGGACAAAAGTAAGATTTCCCTTGTTACTTTTTCAGACCTAGTCATCTTAATAGTTACTGTGCAAAGTTGAAAAAAAGACTTCAGACAGACAGAATATGATTTTTGCATCAGCAGTGTTTCTTACAGTTTAGCATTAAAAGCCAATGAGGGAATGAGTAATAGGAGCATGGTTATTGTTTTATGGCTTAAATAAATTGGTTTAAAAGTAATGGGGAAATTAATGAGCAGCTGCATGAGGAACAATGTATAACAAACACCAAGGAGAGCCATTGAAAAGGTACTGAGCAGAGGTATCAGTGCATAAAATGGCTGCAGTTTTAATCACAACTGTCTGGTACTTGTGTTCAGGTTTTATACCTAAGCAATATGGCAAGTCAGCCAATGTAAGAAATGGGAGCCCTGGGTGATATGAGGCTATTTTAAAATCCAGCAGAATGAAGTTTTTTGTTTCTTGCAGAAAATAATTGGTGAAAAATATCAAGCTTTAAACTCCAGGCTTTTAATTGGACGACCCCGGTGGAAACTCCTGTTTGATGACATAGCAAAGTGTAACAGACGGTAAGTACTAGTCTGCTTGAAGGAGGCCATAGTTTGAGCACTGAGGATATCTGTTTCTAGCTGTGTGTGTGAAAATATTTCTGGGTTTTATCTTAGAATATAATGTTGAAATTCAGTAGTATTTTGCTGTGAGAGATAGCCTGTACAAACTGAAATGCTTTTTTTTTAATGCTTGGAGCAGTTCAGCTTTTCATACAGCTAAAATGTTCAGTGGCCCAGAAAATAAAAGTAGCAGATTTCTGTCTTACTGCAAGGGACTGCATTCTTGTCCATGGCAGTGTCTTTCTTGCAACATACGCTGGTTTTATATAAAGTTGCATTTTGTAAAATTGTTGGCTTCTATAATTTTCCTGATGTATAGTGCTAGTTTACAAACAGAACGCACAAGGAAGAATTTGACTGACCTGTATTGTTCTTATTCAGAGGATATATTGTCTTTGGAGATTTCTGGCAGATTTTAATTCTTTGTTGAGACCTGGCAATGCTTTTTTACTGTTCTAGGAAAGCATGTTATGGTCTGAATCAAGACAGTTGTAAACCAGAGAAGACATGCAATTAGACTGTGGAATGTCATTGTCCAGATCCAGCTTTGTTGGTTTAGTATTTTACCCCCCACTTGTAGTTTTCTGCCTCAAAAGTTGCTCTGGTAGAAGGGATTGTGTGAATCTTCCCCAGTCCACTTCTGACGAAGTCAGTGGTGTGGGAGTAAACCACCCTCAGTAGCTGTTGATAGTAATCTGGGTGCATTGGGTTGAGAAGTGCTCTCATATTCACCTGCAGAATGTTCCCTTAAGAACTTCTTTTCCTCTCACACTTACAAAGTGAAATATGCCCATGCCTTATTGACTCTTTTCTTCTGAGGCTGGATGTGACTAGGGGACACTGAGCCCTGGCTCTTGAGACATACTAAGTGCCAAATGCACCGCTGTTGGCTGTGTGAGCTGCTGACAATACTTATCATGGATTCAGGTCCTAGAGGATGTTGTGGACAGGGTGCCTTACTGGGATCCCCCAAAAGCTGCTACAAAGGGAAGAATTCTAGTAGAATTCTTACACTTAGAGAAGCATCTCTAGTAGAATTCTTACACTTAGAGAAGGGTTTTGGATTAAAGAACCATACAAAAGAAAGGGAAATCGAGAGTTCACAGCTGCAAGTTGACTCTCTGGGCTCACAGACCTCTGCATAGAGGACTGTTGACCTTTTATGCTCCATTCTAATGTCTTATTTTTATTTTACTGTGAGAGTGCAGTTTTAAAAGAGGAAAATGATGAGGTTTGTACCTCTTCCTGGCATGGCTGTAAGTGCACGTAGTATAGATGAAGCTATTAGTAGTAGTCATACTTGTTCTTTCTACTTTGTTTCCCACTGCATTTCTCCTAATTAAACTTCAAGTGCCATTTCCTTTGCATTCTCACATCAGGTCTTTAAATTGTGCCACCATTTTCAAGCAGGATGTCTTTTAGTACCTAAAATAATATTCAGACTATTTTAATTACCTGCAGCTTGCTAAGATGTAGGCTTCCTCACCCTTTGTCACCCTTTTATCAGGGTTTATATAGGTCTGTATCCATAGACGTAGTTATATATAACATGATGCACAGCAGTGAAACCTGTACTGTCCCACAGAAATGTACCTGTTGTAGGTAATTATTCTCCCTATTTCCCTGGATGAGACAGGACCTTCAGTTTTTCTCTGTAATCCAATTTCCAGGTCTGCTACTAGCTTTATTTCAGTCCTTATTTCTCTGTAACTTTCCACCTAAGTGTACCTGCTGCAATAGAGAGACCAAAAAAACCCAGTCCAAAACAAAACAGGCAAATTGTGTTCAATGTCTGGTGCCAGTGTTCAAGCTTTCACATGTATTTGAAATTATCTCCTTGGTTTTCTTTATGGGCAGCCAAGATTTTTTCCAGCTTTTATCTGGTCATTTTAAGGAAAAGCTGTGTATAAATAAACAGGCATCTGGCAAAGCTGTCATGGTGTAGCCATCTGATTGCTATTGTTGTTGTTGTTGTTGTTTGTGAATTTGTAAGTGGATTTGTAAGTGTCTGAGCTTTGCTAGACCTTCAGAATGGGTCATGGGACAACCCAGCATCAGGTTCCTGATCCTTTATTCTGGAAAAGAGGAGCCGACGTGCACCATCTACTGTTGATATTTCATATGACACTTGCAGTCCCAGTGATGTGCATTGGGACAGTTTATATAATAAATTACTGGTCTTGTTTTTCTTTTTTTTTTTTTTTCGGCTTCAATAAACCCTTCCCAGCAGCCTTGTTTCCTGTTTAGTTATGTCCTGGATGAAAAGCTTACACCATGCTCAGTTTTGCTTAGGTCAAATGAGCACATGATTTTTTTCCAGGTGGAGACCGACCTAGCAAAAGGCATGAATATCTGTAGGAGAGAAGGCATGGAGCACCATGATACATTTCTCATGTACTGTAAAGGCGAAACCTCTCTCTAGGAATGAATGTGGGATTTAAAACTGGAATATTTAAAGTCCTGACTCTGTCCTCTTGATGTAGCAAAGTATTTCACCTCTTCCTCACTTCCTGCTGTTCATAAAATGGATGTAAGAATACATGCTGACCTACTCATCCCATAGGAACACTGAGGAGTTACTTGCTTAGTGCTCTGAATGAGTAAAATCCTATATTGATGTTTACAGTTATTACAAAGAATGGCCTATAACATGATTTCCTTAATTGTAAACCTGTCAATGGTATTTATAAAGATTTTCAGACATAGTACTACACAGCTACCTCTTCTCATCCAAGCACCAAAATGAGCCATTGACCCAAACAAGTGATATGCAGTTAAAGCCCATCAGCTCAAGGTAGTAATGTGATGCTTTATGTAGTAGCTTCTCTCAGTAGCCAAGTGAGGCAGGGAAAAAGGTATCTGCAAGCAGGGAAGTGGGCAGTGGAGGTGGGGGAGAAAATGGGGCATGAACTGTGGGAGGTGAGTGGTATGTGGAGATGTCTAGAATAGATGCTGATGGTGGGTGTCTTGGGAAGTAAGTCTGAGAGCCTCTGGCTCACTGCATGGAACAGTGGCTCAGCTCGGTTTCAGGAGACCTCCTTAGCCACAGGTCTCTTGTGTGACTTTAGGAAAATCATTCAACCTTTCTGTGATTCTAGTTGCTAGCCAAAAATTCTGTGTACCTTGGAAGGATGTTGCTGGGATGGAAATACATTAGCAGTATGTGCTTCTTCGACATGTCTGTATAGTGACTATTTATATGTAACGAAAGGGAGAGAGGCAGATGAACTCTTTGGGGTTTATTTTATCAGTGGGCTGTACTAATTAGACTAATAAAAAACCAAACCCCACACAACAACATTAATTCTCTCAATTAAATACACAGTAAAAGACAGATTCTTGCTGCCAGCTCATGAGTCCTTTTTCTCCAGTGTGCAAAGATTAGAGGAAGTTCAGAGTCTGCAAGTGCTGAGGAATCTTATTTGAGAGCAATGAGCAATAGTGCTCTTATTATTGCTTCAAATCCAGCCACCAGCACAACATGCCTTGCCTCTAGAAGGAGTACTACCAGGACAGGGAAGCTCAATAGCTCAATAGCTCAATAGCTCACATAAGGGTGAGAAAAGCATGAAGTATGAATATTTGCCATGGATTGATATGAGAGATGATGTAATTGGAAACAATTAAAATCAGCATTGTAAGGTGCCTGCAGAAGGACACCACTGCAGTTACCTGCATAACTTGGTGATGCTTTTTGGTGTTTGAGTCCTCAGTTGTACCATGCCAGTGTTGCTGTGCACTGGTACAGCGTGCACTGCCATGCTGTTCAAGCTGCTGCCTAACATCAGGCATGCAAGCCTGATAGTATCCATCAAAGATTTCTTCTTACATGTCTTAGTTCCCTTCTCTCACCAAACGCATACACAGGGAGCTTTTAACTGTGTTTGATTATCCTGCGTGTGCTAAAATATATTTAATATTTATATTTAATATTTAATATTATTAAACTATTTTATAATAAATAGTTGCTGGGAAAAATGCTGAAACAGTGCTGGAGGCAGGGTCCAGAACTCAAGTCTCCAGGTTCTTGGTGAGTGCTGTAGACCACAATAAGTTAGAGCCATGTTCCCTTTTGTATGCTTTTTCTTCATCCCAGTAAATCTTTAAGATCTTTCTCTAAAGTGGCACAATATCAAGAGGGAGGTTATGAATATTTTTTTTCACGATACGGCAGCACTGCATTGTCTTTTCCTGCTGCTTCCTTTCCCTCCTCCTCGTCTTTCAAAAAAACGGGAGATGATGAGTATTGTGAATAGCTCAGTCTGGCTCATCTGGTGGATGTGCCCTGTTCTGATGCTGGCTGTATTTGTGAACCCCTAGTGTTGTATGACTGGGAGTCTGACTTACTGCCCATCTATAAGGTGACCAGAGAGCAAAGAGCTGTGGAGGGTGGAGTGGTATGAAGAAGTCAAGTTAGTTAATGAACCCAGGCTGAGATCTATGGGTGATGAGCAAGGATCATACTCTGTGTTTGGATTTTCATAAGATTTTCCAATATAGGTGTTGAGGGAAAAACTGCATGCTAATGCAGTAAAGCAGTAATGTTATTCTGCTGC